TTTTTGTATTTCAATTTGGGTAATCAAGACATATCTCTACCACTCATAACTTGTAGAAGGCTTAAAAGCTCTGAGTTTATGTTGCATGTTTGTTCAGATGATATTTCCTAAAATCAATGGTTTCCTTGATTGGGATGAGAGTGGGGGAGATTGAGTAAATTGATTGTTGGGAGGATGGGTTGTTGGGGTGTGGGAGGGGGCAGATTGAAGTGAAAAAGCTAGAGGTTAGTTTAATTGTTTGTTTTTTTGCCAATTTGTTTCTATTTGCTGCAATGATTTGATTTTTGTAAGAACAAAAAATGAGTGTTGTTTGACTATTACTCATATTATGAAAATCATCAATCTCGCCCCTAAGTCTATGGCCTTAGTCTATATAGGCTCGGGTTGTGCTCATGCTGGACTACTAATCGGGCTGAGATGAGCCCACGCCCAATTTGACATATGTATTGGTTTTTTTTTTTTTGTAATTTTTTTTACAACTTCGTTTAAATCTTTTTTTATAATTATGTACTAGACTCTCTGCATGCGTTTACGCACCTGCAAGAGGCTTTTTTAAAAAAAAAAATTAAATTTATTTTAGAATTAAAAAAGATAATGGGTAGTTGTGTTCCATAAAAAGAGGATCCATTATCTAATTTTTCTTTTAATTTTAAATTTTTTTAATATGAAAAAGTGTAAATTTACCATATTATCCTCACTTAATTAATAATTTCAATTCTTAATGTTTGCATTAACCAAGGGCATTTTTTGGTATTTTGAATGTTTCACCATTCTCTGCATTTTGCTTTATATATATAGATATACAAACAAGATTTATTATTTGTTAAAAAAAGAGGTCAATAACTTTATTTAAAGTACATTTAAATAGAAAATGACTAAATTAAAAATTGAAACTTGAAAAACATTAAAGAAAACATTAAATCTTAATATATATTATTAGGGAAAAGAAATGGACTTGAATTTAAAATATAAATGTAATAATATTATGTATTATTTTTCTCTAAAATAAATGTAATTTAATAAATGGGCTTTAAAAGGGCCAGCCCGACTAATTGGTTCTAATTACCTCGTCCCAGCCCACACAAAGATACAGGCCGTACCGGGCCTTACTTAAGCGGGCTGTGCTCAAGCCAACCCGGTCCGTTTGACACCTCTAACTCAAAGTGTGTGGGGTGCCCCTACTAACCCTATGGGAATAAGGAGTGCTTAATGATTGTTTAAACTACTCTAATTTACGTGAGAGGAGGATTGAAAGATATCGAACTACGGTTGGAAGATGTAAACGATAGTTTAAACTACTCTAATTTACGCGGGGAGGAGGATTGAAAGATATCGAAGTACGGTTTGAAACATCCTTAATTATAGAAAATGGTGTATGAGTTGTTTTAGGGTTTTAGTTATTTTGGGGTTGGTTTTGGTTTTTAATTTCTTATAGTATATTAAATTAATTGTCCGGTTGCTAAGCACTCCACATTTGCTTGACTCTTGCTTTTGCAGTGAACTTTGGTTTGGTCCATTGATGTTCATAATGTTCCCATGTTTTTTTACATGCATCTTTCTGAAGATGCGTATCTGCAAGATAAAAGGGCTCTTCTGGTCCTCTCCGACGCGCTGAGCGTCCTAATGGGTTTTTATTATTATTATTATTTTTAAATTTATTTCATTTTGCACTTTGTCAACAAAATTTTTACTAACCCAACTTTCTTAATGGAAGCAAATTGAGGTTAATTAAAATCCTATGGTGTAAACATCCCAAGCTAGCCTATATATATGGTTTAAAAAGAAGATACTCTCTCTCTGATGAGAATTGTTATTTCGAAAAATAATCATTTAGAGGGTAATCTTAATATGTAATTTATTTGCTTTTGTTCCCGTTCCTCAGTTGTGATTAGAATATAAACATTTGCTGATAACAAATACTGCTAAAGCCAAAAAGATTAGTCTATGCTTCATAGACTTTGCACTCCTTGTCAGCCGGGTTTGTCTCGCAGAAATCCTCCAACGGGTCTCCGCTTCCCGCCTGTGGCGTGCCTGGCCACTTGCTTGCAACTAAATGTGCCAAATCCACAACCCTTTGGCTGCCAAAAATAATAATCCACAGGAAGATCAAGACACAGTTGAGCTTGAATATATAGTGAATGGTTTTCCACTAACATTCCATGCAACATTAATTTTGTTCAATGAAAAACTCTTTCTAGATTTATAACGAGTGGACTCACCTGTATCCCCATTCGTTGTCGTACCAGGCAACCACCTTGACCATATCATCACCCATGACCATGGTCAAGGAGGAGTCTATGGTGGAGGAAACATCGGTGCACCTGAAGTCTACCGACACAAGAGGAACGTCGCACACTGCTAATATGCCCTGCAGTGGTCCCTCGGCTGCCTTTCTGAAGGCTGCATTGACATCTTCTGCTGAAATACCTTTCTTCTCAACATTAATCACAAGGTCAACCACTGATACATTAGGTGTTGGCACACGGAGGGCAATTCCGTTGAGCTTTCCTTTGAGTTGAGGCAGCACCAAAGACACAGCCTTGGCTGCACCAGTGCTTGTGGGAACTATGTTGAGTGCTGCTGCTCTAGCTCTCCTTAAGTCCCGGTGTGAAGCATCCAAGAGCCTCTGCACATGCATACACAGAGTACGCCATAAATAATTTATACTTGATTTTGAATGCCCCATGTATCACTCATTACAACTGTGCCTTTGTCAGGACATCAAAATGTCAATCCTTGAGTGCATTTTGATTGTAAGGCAAGAACAAAATCTATATACAGAGGAGAATGAAGGTGCCATTCATTACCTGGTCTCCGGTGTAGGAATGAGTAGTTGTCATGGTTCCCTTGACAATGCCTGCAAGTTTTCATGATGAACAAAGAATTAGTCCTCGAAGGTGTGCCGTTTGGATTCATGCTGAAAATACGAACAACTGCTTACCAAATTCTTCATCCAGGACCTTTACAAAAGGAGCCAGGCAATTTGTGGTGCAAGAAGCATTGCTGCAGAACACAAAAATACAAATTTTATACCTCTAGAATATTTAGTCAATTTACTCAAGCACAGTCATAAATGTTATGGTTTTTTCCCTATCTCGCTAATCGATTTGAGAATACTGACCTGACAATGTCGGCAACCTCATGGGAATAGTCTTGTTCATTCACCCCAACAACATAGGTGGGAATGTCAGCACCTTTTGCTGGAGCTGTAATGATAACTTTCTTGGCACCAGCTTGGATGTGTTTACCAGCACCAGGGCCATCAACAAAGACTCCTGTGCCCTGTAGGTTATCCAATTATGTTATATAATAAGGTACTATTTACAATGTTATCCAAGGCTCCAAGCTAATTAAAGACTGCAGTTCTTTTGTAATAGATATCTGGCATCCTTATTCTTGATATTCTAGTCTTAGCACAGCAATCGGTTACCTCAATAACAATGTCAATGCCAAGCTCAGCCCAAGGAAGCTTCAGGGGATCCCTGCTAGAGACAACCTGGACAGGCTTGCCATCAACGCTGATGGTCTCATTGTCCACGATTTTAACGTCTGCTTTGAAAGTACCCAGCATTGAGTCATATTTCAGCAAGTGTGAAGCCTGTGTTTGAGATTAAATTAAATTTTAATCTAATATAATTTTACCAATATGATTTTTCCATAAGCATGTTAAATTAAGCTACATAAATTAATACTCATAAGTTCCCTTACATTCTTGACACCACCACTGTCATTGACAACAATGACATCGAGAGGTGAGTCCTTCCGGCCATGCCAGCATCGGAGGAAGTTCCTGCCAATACGACCAAATCCATTGATTGCCACCTTCAATTTGGCCACTGTTTGTCCCTTAACAGGAGCTGGTCCTGTAGTCTGCTATGCATTAAACAAAACAAAAGTTATGAGTACGAAATTAATATAGCAGAAAATCCACCCCAATAACATAACATCAACATTAGCACTTTCGTATATTTTGGTCATTGTGGAGTGTCCAGCAAAGAATTTTCTGGATATATAATCTCAGGATAAATTTACGTGCTATAGGAAGCAAGCATGGCATATATGGCACTTGTAGATTTGTAATGCATCACTATGCCTTATTGAATTCAAAAAAATTTCAGGTGCTCAAAATATGAATTCAGGTTTGGTGAACAATCTGATATCTGTTCAATCAAACACATATGTTGCCTAATGAAATGAAAAAAAATGGGAAGATAAAACCTTGGGAGTAAGTTGTGCAGCCACAGCATCAAAGAAGGATGTCTCTCTACCATTGCTTGCATAGGTGACACATGAACTGGATCTTAGACCCGAAAATTCACCAACTTCCAGCCTCTGCACAGCCAAAAAGAGTAAGCAAATTATATCAAACTAGGAAGCTAATAAAACGTGACGCCGTGAACATCGAGAGAGTGAAAAAGACCTTGGAGAAGCATTGAGCGGGAAAAGAAATTATATCAAACGAGGAAGCTAATAAAACGTGACGCCGTGAACATCGAGAGAGTGAAAAAGACCTTGGAGAAGCATTGAGCGGGAAAAGAGTGCGAGGACTTGGAGGGCAGCCTGGTGTTGGCTGGGATTCTTGTAGAGGCTAGAGCTGAGTGTGAGGCCATGGCTGCAACTAAAGCTAAGGGACTGACTTTGCCACTATATATATATATACAGTTACATTCGTGCCTTTAGTAATCTGAACATTCCCTTATTTTAAAATATGGTTGAAATTGAATTAAAGGAACTTGTGGTTATAGCTTGGTACATGTAGATTTTGGAGATAAGATCATGTCTATTTGCAAGGCTTTCAGAATATGAACCGCAGGTTATTCCCCAACTTGTTTTCCTAGAATGCCCTTCCAATCTACTTTCTTTGGTTAAGAGAGCAAAAAAGCAACTCTCAAGGCTTGAAGATCTCAACCACAAATAACGGATACTGAATTCAGCATCACTCAGGTCCCCGCAGTTTTGTAATTCCTTTTTTCTTTTTAAAAAAAAATATAACAAATATATTATTTATTATAGGCCGTACTAGCAAATGCAGACAGCAAAAAAACAGCTATAAAAAAAAATCCTATACTCGTCATCGTCCAAATTTTAGCAATTTTGGAATCAGAGGGTACAATTACATTGACCAAAACTAGGTGCTCCCACATGGAAGAACAAAACTACACTGATTATTGGGCAAATACTGAAACACTGAAATACATGACAGATTCTGATGGGAGCTTCTCATATGACAGCTTCAACTTCATCTGAGCTCACAGGTACTTCATTTGGATCATCTTCCGATCGGAGCTGGCCAGAAACATCATCTATAGCAGAGTTCAGCTGCGCTATCTTCTCAGCCAGTACCTTTCGCGTTTTCTGTGGTGCAAATAAGGCATAATGTGATCTTTCCAGTAAACATAAAATAAAGAAAATAGGATATTATGGGATTAGAATCACAACGGTCTCTCTCTATAGCAAACATTAACTAAGCATTTTGGCAAACAATGATTAGTGAAAAAATATTTGATAGAAACTGAAACAAAGTGGACAACATAGCAATAACAACAAAATAGCACTTCAGCATCTCCAACAATGCTGAACATATGTAAAAGAAAAAAAAACACTAAAAGACAGAAAAACAGCAAGGGAGCTTTCTCACCTCCAAAGCTTTGTCCTCATCATATATGAACTTGGGCAGTTTTCTCATTAGATCCTTCCGGTCAGCTCCAGCCAGTGCTTTACTGATCTGTTGATGAAAAAAAAAATCTCAGTGAGAAAAATGCTTTTTATTTTTGGGCTTAATGCAAGAGGCCATCAAGTAAAGTAAACTTTGTAGCCCACAAACTGCAAAATTTATCAATCACAGAACCCAACCACGGCAAATTTGTGAGGTACAAAGTATAGACTTGCATAAATTTCAAAGTAGGTAACTCGTTAGTCTTAAAATATACACATTTCAACAATTGGTAATAATTGATTGATGAATAACATAGATATAAAGTAGCACAATACAAGATAATAATCATATAAGCATTTGCATAAAACAATCATAATCGATGAGTGGAAACCTGAGGTGCATATACAGCACCCAGTGTGCCAACTATAAGTCCTCCCAAAACAAAGCCACTAATGAAGATGCTTGAACTGTTTGACCTACCGCCATCACTGTAATTACACAAGCAGAGACTGTCATTAGAATATCATTGAAAGGTAAACATGTGATAAAACTGAAAATGACATACTAAAATACAAAAATTGAATTTCAAAAGACAGTATCATATCTACAATATTGCTAGATCGTGAAAGCACCACCAATGACAGCTGGGGAAATAAAAATATTACTATTCATTACTGAACAAACTACCCTATGATGAGCAAATGAAATTAAACAGAGCATTGTGCCCTAGTGGACGACACAATGAGACATATAATAATAGACTCTGATATCATTATTTCAGGGTTTAGGGTGAGTTGACTATATTCCTTGATTTCTATATTGTTGGATGAACTAGTTGAGCTACATCCAGTATACATATTCCTTCTGCAAACAAATATTGAATCCCAGGAAACATGGAAAGTAGAAAAGTTTTATTAATAACTAATTGTTACCTTAATGCAGTCATGACTCCAAGTACGTGTGAGGTCAATGTTTTATATAAATAGCCAGGACATTATATGGATATGGGGAAGAAATCAAACATAAAAAGGAAAACTGAGATCTTGAAGAATCAACAAGCCACCAGGCAGTGGTAATATTAAGAATTATTTCCTTTTTTTTTTATATCGTCTTACTGGAAAAAAAAATTTAGTCTCAACCAATTCCCAGATTTATATCTATTAACAGTTTGAGAAACAATAATTAACATATTCAAATGTATAATAGACAAACACATTTTGTCTGAAAAATATAAAAATCCCTCACTACAGAACTCTAATGAGAAACTCGTACTCAAAGCAAATAAATCAGCAGCTACCATGCATTTTGCATTATACAACTAGCATGTCCAGATCACAAACAAGAACCCAAAACACACCATCAGAATCAGGACTATAATGCAAGGGCAAACAGAATACCTATATCCAGCCTGAACTGTGAAGGACCTCTTGGAGGTAGATAGCTGAGCTTTCCCAACATGCTTTGAATTGAGTGACAAGTTTGTAGGGGCCACACTCCCAAGATATTGTTGTGATGGTTTCAGAGGAGACCCTGGTGAAGAATTTCACAGGAACAGAAAAAGCAACATTATTCGAAATCCAGCACATAGACAGAAACTAAGTGCAGCAATAAACTCATTGCCGATATGGAAAATGCCACAAGAACATTCAGTGAATTCTGATACTAACCACTTAGTTAATGGGAAAGTAATGTATATATATATATCCCTTACATCAGCTATGGATCTTTGGAATAAACTCCACTACCATTTGCAGATGGTTAGCTATTTCAGTTTACTCCTAGGGTGTAAAATCTCACTTTGACTAACCTAAGCCTAGCCTCACGAATATAAGTTCCTGGGTCTCTACAGCTATTGCCAATTTGTTTCAGATTCGATGCCCTAGCTTTAACAACAACAAAAAATGCAGAAAAAATAGCCATAAATTTACATAAAATTACACAGTAATTTAATAGGAGCTCAGGAAAGCTGCATAGAAACAAGGCCTTTTCTCCTGGCTTGCAAGGCACTACTAACTTGGGAAATATAAGATTGCTTTCTGTTCTTATTTCGGGCTCAAACACGAACTGTAAAAGAACAAAGTCATCTGCAAATCCCCTAGATTATGAATGTGAGAGGTTCCATATCATACACACACTAATCCAAAATGAAATCATTGACAGCCCATTTACGTCTTTCATCTTTCATTTAAAGCAAAAAAGTAAGTAACCATCAAATTGAAATGCAAGAACACTTGCAAGCAAGAACATTACTTATATAAAAATTGAGCTGAGAATCCAACAAACGCAGTTTGATTAGATCACGAGGGAAATTACCAGAAGAGAGCTGGACATGAGGATTTGTAGTCAAAGCCAGCGAATTGGCAATAGCAGTCATGGTTTGCAGTTTGCAGTCTGCAACTTTGCACCCGCAGCACACCAACAAAAAAGAGAGTGGAATGAGTGTTAAGACTGTTGGGAAGTTAAAGAAAAGTTTTATGGATTCGATAATACCGATGCTTTTGCTTGTTTGATATCTCAAGTTATAAAGAAAGAGACGGCCTCTGCCGCTCTGGCATTCTTTGGTTATGTGGTTTACTAGACCGTACAACGGGCCAGTGTGGATCTCTCTATTTCACTTCAAAACAATGGCTGAAGGCCCAAATATTAATGTTGTTAGCAGTCCAAAATAGTGCTAACAAACTTCTCAAAAGGAGCTTCTAGAACTCTTTTTTTCTTTTCTTTTTTGATATTAAGTAATATTCTATTTTAAGCTAATCTAAACTACGGGAGTGGGAATTCGAACTCGGGTGCAAAGTGGAGAGCACATCTGCTCTATCCAACTTGACTAAACCTATGTTGTCAGAACTCTTATTACAACAACAATTGGAAATAGATGGGTTGATAATTAAATGGTAAGTGAGCTGTAATGGTTGGGTTCTAACAGAGAGACAAGAAGGGTAGGCCATGGACAGATATCTGAAAACCCAAATTGACCCAAGTTACTGAATTCCTCTAACTCTGCATGCTCGATGTGTCATTTTCATAGGATAAAATGCTTTGTTAATTGTAACTTAACTTATTTTTATAATGAGATTTATTTTTATCGTACAAGGAAGAAAAAGGGACGGAGAATTCAAATCTCAGACAACATTCGTTAAATAAAACCGCAAAAATGTAGTGCCTGGTGCAATGTGAAGTTCTAGAATATGGTGCCAGTTTGATGCATTTTTCCTTTGGTCCTTGTATCTTTCCTTTGTGTGTTTACTTTTTCAAAATAAAAGGGGCCTATTTCGGGCATTAAAAGAAATATTATTTACTAATGATATTATCTGTTACCAAATCGTCATGTCACAAACAAAACATGAGGAAAGCTTAGTGTCATTTCAAGCAAGGGTATATAATTGACTCTAGGAAAATGTCATTTGCCGAGTGTACGATGAGCATGCATTTGAAAGAATTCTGGCACTCGTTCTACTGCAGCCTTGAAGCATTTACAGATGCAGTGATATTCCAAAGCCAGAACAAATACAAGGCTTGTACATGCCTTTCAATATCAAGAGGATCTCTGTGAGCCTCAGCCTCAGTGAAACCTGTGAAAAATCGTTTTCTTCAAACATACGTCTCACACAGTTAAACCTATGAAACAACCAAATAATCAAATTAGAAACTAAGGCAAGTTTTAAAGAATATAGCATGGGAGGAGAGTAAGAGAGAATGAAAGGTTGCAAAATTTCTGCACCTTAAGATGCTACAGAGAGTTTGGATTCTGTTCCTTGGTCTTCGCCAACTTTGCTTGTATTAGTTTGTCCAAGATGGCAGGCTCTAAAGGAATTGGGTCAAGACAACGCTCTGCGGCTGCAACAATTACCTGCTCAATAAAAGAAGCCCAAACCAATTATTTTTTCCTGAAATTACAAAACTCTTAACATAGGTTCTGGCAAAGGACCCACTAGTATAGTGGTTTGGAGCAATTGCTCCTCTAGGCAAGGTCTTGGGTTCAAGTCCTGGCATCCGTATAGTGTGTGTGAGTTTAGTATATTATCACCCCTCTAAGGTCTTAAAAAACAAAACATAAGTTCTGAATCATGAGCAATGGAACACCTTCCCTCCCCCTCTCCTCTTGAAAGGAGTCCTTAAAAGGTTTAGAGAGGGGGAGAGAGGTTTCCAACATTAACAATTCAAAAGAGAAGGCAATATACAGATATAACACAAGCGGGGAAGCTATACAAACTTAAGAGGTTTCCAACATTAACAATTCAAAAGAAAAGGCAATATACAGATATGAACTCAAGCAGAGCAGCTAAACAAAGTTAGAGTTCAGGATGCAGAGCCTAGACGGATTTCTCAATACCTCATCCAGCAGAAAGTCAACAGCAGCCTCATCTTCTGCCATTTCCTTTAAAGTAGTCCTTAAGAACTGAATATCCAACTGAATTTGCTGGAATCCACTTCGATTAAATGTTTGGAGTCTAACAAATTCTTGCAAGCTTTTAAGGCAAAGTTTTACCAAGGTTGTTACCACAGACTCCTGCAATTTGCAAGCAGAAACAGTTCATGTTGTTCCTAAACCAATACCAATATTCGTTTGAGCAAAAAGTACTTCATTACCTGTGTAAACTCAACTTTCGTAAAAATTTCAACTTTTTGCTTAAACAGTTTTGCTAGATGGGTTTCCAACAGCTGGCTCCTGGCCCTTTGGGTGTTTGACCGACTCAATTTCTCCTCTCGTAATGGATTGCTCCGTGATGAGGCAGTGCTTCCATTGCTATCAGCCCGTCGGTGTCTACGAATCCCTTCAGGTAAAATCTGCTTAACTTCACTTCGAATTACTTCCAACTAACACAAGAAAGAAAGGAAAGTTTATGCAATCTGACAACATTAAATAGATTTAAGAAACCAGGCACCAAACAATTTTCCCCTCAACTTTACTGTTATTCCAAGAGATAACAATATATGGGGGGGCATAAAAAAAATGTACTTACCTCTTGAAGAAATAAATCAACAAACATATGAACTTCCCGGGGTTCCTTGTGCTGCAAAAATGTAAAAATCAAAAGTATTTACATTGGCAGGTAAATTTATTTTGGAGAACTTGGATAAGGAATTGGACTCAAATCAACTACTCCCCCTAAAGAGATCGGATTCCGTGTTTAGGGTATTTGATTACGGATTTTACCATGCACAATTCTTTATCCCGTATGTGTAAGTAAACACAGGGGAAGGAATTGGAATCATTCCAATACCCACACACGGGAAGAAGGAATTGGAATCATTCCGATACCCATTACTGATAAGCAAACATGCCATTAATGGTTTAGTCCACATGCTAACTACTTCCTACTATTGAAATATTGCCCTACAACAAGCTTACCTTGACCCAATTTGGGGTGGTAAACCTCTTCTTTAAGAGAACTGATATCCGCTGGGTTCTCAAATTTATATACTGAAAAGAGAAGATCAAAACATTACTTGTTATCAAATGAATGTATAAGTAACAGATAAAAGTGGTTTTATCATAGTAGCCCAAGGAATAAAATGCATTTGAATAACCTAAAATTCAGAATTCAGAAATTTTTTAATTCATACAATGTGAAGAAACTTTTCACCAGCTGAGTGGAAAATCCGACAGATTTCTCCAGGAACAAAAGCAGGTCCATATTCATAGCCCCTGGCACCACCACCAGAAAAGGAAGTAGCTATTTCCTGACAATTAGAAGATGAAACTTCAATGCAAGCCCTGAGGATATGGAGGAAAATATAACTACAGTATTGACACTTTTTTAGCATGAAACATAATTCTTATAGTTGGCTACTTACCTCAGTGATTCTCAGGATAGCATTTTGTTCAATGAAAATAGAAACTTGGGCCAGCACAAGGACAAGCCCAGCCAGAACTTTGTCATCTTGTATTCCCTCTGTCAAACCCTGATCTTGCATGGCCGAACTATTCTTGCCAGAAAGCAAGAGAAAGTGGCCATCAAGTGCCCTGAAGAAGTCTTGAAATTCTTCTTGGACCCAATCAATAATCAAGTCTTTCAGTTTAACTAGTAGGCCCAAATTATCATCTAGAAGTTGGCGGAAGTCCTGAAACAAATGATAGAATGAAGAGATAAGCATCAATTTTTCCCTCTTTTGATAAGTAAGAAATCCTGCACTTTTGTAAAGGGGTTAATATGCCAACGCAATAGGGGAAAAAAATTAAAGAAATGAAAAGTTTGAAATCAACAATGTATGTAGAGTTTTTTCTTGAATACTGTAGGAAGACTTAAACAAAAAATGGCCAAATTGTTTAGACCCATATTCCGAAAAAGGGGAAAAAAAATGTATCTGCTGCATTTATGTAGTCACCCCTGCATATATCAGAATATAAGTTCCAGGAAGCATGTGTAAAACACACAAGCACATAGCCACCTTTCAAACAAACATGGGCTCTAACTTTATGAGTATATATGGAGGGAATTATGCACAGTTCCATCAATTATGCGTATATTAAGATATGAGGCTGTAGATTTATGCAATGCAAGCATGGTTTAAGTGCAGTAACATAGACTACATAGTATCTCATTCAGTACCAGTAATACATCCATGCTGCCTTGGAGCACTGCCTTTTTGCCACCCTCCAGAGCAACTTGCAAGGAATACTCTTCTCCTTTATCCTTCTGCCTAGTGTGGGCTTTTGTGAGGGCATCTGCCAGTTCAAACAAATTCAGCTCAAATTGTGTCACTAGAATGAAAAAATAAAACTCGAGCGAGAGAGAGTGTGGGTGTCTGTGTGATCCTCAGTTGTTAAAAGTCAAATGACAATTTTTCCAAATTTGTGACCAGGTTAACGTACACCATTCCAAGCCTATCAAGTTATTCTCCTCTACAAGATTCGTCCATTGAAGATTATACTCTTGTTGTTTACAATGGGTCAACTGCTTTATCAATTTAATTTCAAATCTTTTCATTTTTTTCCATTTTCAGTTGATTTGACTAGCAAGTCTAAAATGATATGAGTCAAAAATCTGAAAAGGGGCAGGAACAATACAGATTTAACAGAAAATATGGCCTTGGATAGGGCCAAATGTTGGCCAAAAAGTATCCATGTCTCTGACCCCAATTAGTTGAGATTATGGCTTAAGAGTTGAAAGAATTTATGAAGAAAAATAACTTTGAACTGCAACAAATGAATAACCTGAAATCCTGCTTAGCAGATGAGAGAATTTGTTGCTAACATACAGTTTCACAGCAACCCGAGCAGGCTGCAACAACATAGATTACCTTCTACGCTTAGAACCATTTTTAAACCCAAAAAACTAAGAATCTACTTTCAGTTCTTGAGAGTTTGGAAGAAATGCTGCAAACAGTATTATGAAAAAAAAATTGAAATTTATTTAAGGGAGACCTCCAGAGAATAGTCAGAGAGAGCAGCCTCATGTAACACATCATCCATCAGAAGTACATCTCTCCATATAATCCCTGCATGGAGAAGGGATTTTGGTTAAGCATTTCAAGAGAAGATTTTCAGGTTTAAATTGACAAGGAACTGACATCA